AGCCAAACTAAACAGAGCCTTCAGAGGGGTAGCTGAGTTAGTCTGTAACTGGAAAAACTTAAACAACGAATAGCCTTGCAAAAGCTCAGAGACTAACAAAATATGTAGATGGTATCATGAGCACAACCCACTTCTGATGAAACAGAGCCTGATCTGAGAGGCTCACAGGAGAGGATTCCATCAGAATGCATCTGAACAACCCCCTTCCTTAACTGTTCTGGACGGCTGTTAAACACCAACCCTCATGATTCACTGGAGCCCCCTTCAGTAAATGTTAAAATAGGCAGGGACTGAACTCTGCACGGAGAGTGAAAGGACTAGATCTTTAGGCCTCTCCTCAGGCAAACTCGGCCAGTCAAATGAGCCAGGGAAGTGGGAATACTCCATTGTGGGTAGCTGTGTGTGTGTTGCTGAACTGGCAACGGTGAGTTACCTCAGAAATTACTGTGGGGTAGATAGGCCATGGTGGGACAGGCCAGGCTAGCTCTGACGGGGGGCAGAATGAGGTTCCTAGCAGCTCTGCTGTTAGCAGGAAGGCCCAGGGAAACTGAAGTGACCACTGAATGGTAAAGGGAGACAAACCCAAGAAAAAGGATCTAGTGCAGGCATGTCCAAAGTCCGGCCCGTGGGCCAATTGCGGCCCGTGTTCCGGTTTAATACGGCCCCACAGGTAATTTGGCAATATCTATCTTTTATGGCCCCCAACGAATCCATATGTATTAAGATGAATACATTGTAAAATCTCAGTTAATGTCAGTTGGTCTAAATCAGTTATAAATATATTTGGACACAACATGTATACTTGGTGTTATGTTCCTGTTCGTATTTTTTGAACTTAAAAGTTGACAGACAATCTTTATTACCAATAATATGTAATGTACTTTACAATGTTCCTGACATATATTTCAGCTTCCTGGATTTTTTTTTCATCTGGCCTTCAGATATGAAAGGCAGAGTGATTTAACACCTGTTTAGATTTGTCATCCATGTGATGAAATGAAAAGTATGCTGTTTGCAATAAACTTTGCATAAAATAGTTAATTTGCGTTTAATTTTAATGGTTCAAAGAATGTCAGGCAAAATGGTCAGCCCTCACGCATGTTCACTTCCTAAAATCTGGCCCTCTTTGAAAAAAGTTTGGACACCCCTGATCTAGTGCCTCAAACTCAGAGACTGCAGGGACCAAGGTTCATTTCCCAGTCCAATTAGAGACACCCTATCTGATCCTGGGCAAGTTACTGACTTGCTCTACGCCTCAGTTTATCCTCTGTAAAATGGAAGCAGCATCTCCCTATCTCACATGAGGATACAATCCATTTGTGGAGGTGAGATTCACAGATCCCACCATGGCGCGCAGCTAGACGGGTGTAACAGGGCACACTCCCCTCTCATAAGCCTACTGCATGGGCCTGCACTCTCTCTCTGTTTGCAGTCAACTCTCAAAAAATCTGCTAAAACAAAGCAACCCCTCTGGGGTACAAGTCCAACAGGGCTTCTCTCGATGCTCTCTACTGCCCTTGGTTTGTCCCCACTCTGGAATAGAGTGGTGCTCCAGGATTCCTTCCCTGGAGGCAATGTCTTTGCCCTCTCAGGGTCTTTCTGGCCACAGCTCTTCAGCTGAGTCGCTATAATTCAGTCCCTTCCCCATCTGGAGTGCCTTGCTGTCCAGGCCACTTCGCCCGGGACTCAGCCCCGGGATCCTGCAAATA